TTGTCTCAAAGACATTTTCCTCTTCAAAGTCCTGGCATTCACCAGCCTCGGTGTGCTGTGATGGTAGAAGTTAGTAAGTCACGCCAAGACTGCATTTCATCTCCCAACACAGCCCTTCAGGCTACAGCCCCAGGAACTTGGCAGTCCTTGCCTCCGCTCTGGAACCGTGTGCCTAAACATGAAGTTTCCACATTTGTTTGTGCGTCCTGTTTTAGAGGCAATGGGGGATTCACATTGACTCACAACAGGAGTGGAAACCATCCCGCAGCACAACTTGGGAGTCCAGCAATGCCAGCACAACAGACTGCTCACGAGAGGCAGTCAGGAAAAAGGAAATCAAAGCACAGAACTTGGTCCGAGCAGCTGTGAACAAGTACTTGCTTGGATGATCTTAGGCAAACAAGAAAAAAAAAAGCATTCAAACTCCCCATGCGCTATTCACCTTTATAATAAAGCAGGATTCATTCCCCCCCATCTGAGAGAGAGAAGCTTAAGCTGACGGTCCTGCCCACCCCTCAGTACCGGACTGCGTTAGCTGGGTTTTAAATGGTAACTCAAAGCAACACAGCAAGTTAAATCAGGCTCTGAATCCTTACCTGAAAGGCCAGGACAGTGAAACAGGAGCAAGTGAGGTCTGCTCCTCCCTGCGAGCGTTCTGGGGAGGGTCTGGGACCGTCTAGCCGGGGGAAGAGGTGCTGATGAACAAGAGAAATTCCCCTTGCTGGGGGTTGTCTTTGACATGCCGACAAAACCACGTCCTCCTTTGAAAGATCTTGTTTCTCAGGCTGCGTGGCCACTACTTTAAAGTGGGAATTTTAGGTGAGTCCTGATGTTGGGGGAAAGAATGCCTCTCTCAGTGCGAACTCCCCTGTTTCCTTCTCGAAGAGGCTGTGGTGGGACAAGGCTTCCCTCTTGGGCTCGCAATACTGTCCTACCAGCTCCATCCTTTTTCTTCACAGGTCGGGTTGTTCCTTTAGCCGCATGTAATGTTTCTCGAATAGTTTGTCTTAGTGCATGTACGCTAAATGATTTTTGTCTCAGACTTATAGGAACACATTTGTATTTTATCTCCTCGCAGGCTACTTCTAGACTTAATTCTTCCCAGCTCTGTCCTCCTTGTCTAAATACTCTTCTGTTGCTTGTGCAATGTTGAATTAAAGAGGGATTTCTTGCTGGTTTTTTTTCTAAGTCCTTTTTAAAGCATGGAAACTTATCCTCATCATCCTGTTTCCAGTTTGACCAAAAAGTTTCATTAGCAGCAGAAGCTGCAGCACATATCGAAACTGAGCAAAACAAATCCCTGAGCTTAAGTCATTGTTTTACAGTAGGCAATTCAGCAAAAAAAGCAGCTTATGAGCATAACCGACCAGGCAAAGCTGCAGTTTAACTCCCAAATAGGCCAAAGGGGTATGAGACAGCCCAGTTCCTGCGCTATAAAGGCTTCAGCTGTCTTTATTAGGTATTTTTGGTGTAGTAATAGATAACAGGCTATGATTTTTAGTGGCCTCACCATATTACACCTGCTTTCGTCAGCACAAGGTTTGTCCACGGTGGGATCTTTCTGCAGAAGCGTACTGCTTTGTACACTCTCGGGTGGAAGGTTTCCTGTAGGTTTATAGACTGCAGCCAGTTATGCCTTAGAGAATTCAGAGATCACTTACATTTTGTAAAGCAGGAAGCACAATGTGGACACTTGAAAAACATTAAGTTGTTTGTGGACCAGGATCTTGGAGTAAGTCAGCGTGTTACAGCACAAGACATCATCGGTGCCTCCTAGCCAAGCCCAAGCACTGCTAAGCTAGCAAAGTGGTTTGTGCCTGGAATTTGGTAGTCCAAATCCAATCTTCAAACTAACTAGACATCTCAGAAGTAACTCAAAACTACCTGTGCATTTATTCTAATCTAAGAATATTCCTTTAGGAGGAGCTCAGCTACCAGCTTCTATTCATTTTAAGAGAATTTCGATATCTGTATTAATTCATGGTTGTCAAAGAACCTTCTCTTATTTCATCACATCTCTTTAGACACTTTCTTGCAAGCTTTGGATGTCTCCTCTGGAGCTCTATCGTTTCCCCCGGCCAGCATTTCCAGAAGGAACTGAAACAAAAGATTAAACAAAAGCATGATGAACAGCCTCAAATGACACTTAGAGAGCAATTGAAGAAAAAGGTAAAAATATGTAAAGAGAAAGCGTCAAAAATCCAGTGCAGATATTGCTCAGTTGCAGCTGTTGCTTTTGATATGACATCAAACTCAGTGAAGTCCCTTCTTGGGCTTGCAGAGACTGAAATCTGGTTCGCCCCCACAGTTAACAGATAGCACCGGCTTCTGCACATGCTGATGGCTGATGGCACCTAAGAACGTCAGCCACACAAGCGCCAAAGCTATGCGAGTCCTAAGCACCCATCAAAGTACCTCTTCACTTGCTCCCAGGATGGCACGCTGTACTGGTCCTTCACAGTAAGCCTGAGCAGGGGGATCCCAGCACCACTTTCAAGACCCCCTGCTCAGTTGAGCCTTCTGAAGCCCCATTTGCAATTACACCAGTTCCTCCCCTTCCAAAGCTCCAACACACAGAAGAGAGAACTGGAGGTCCCTGATCTAGGCAGTTTTACAGCCAGGACCTTGGGACAACCCAGCAATAGCCACAAGCGTATCAACATGGGGACAGAGACAGCACCCTCAGCAGATTCTCGTGACTCACCCGAGACTTTCTGTAGTCCGTCCTTTCCAGGAATTCCTTAAAGGCCTGTGCACTGTGGAGCTGCGTGACTTTCATCTCCTGAATTTATTTCCAGAGTAAAACATTCAAAATTGATTTTTATGTACAGGTTCCACATGCCTACAGAAACTACAGTGTGTACCTGTCCAGCTCTTGTGAAAACTTATCAACCAATAACTATTTTAACTGCTAACAGCTCTAACTAGTTCAGATTTGATTTTCTTTTCAAAGAAATGAGGTTGCTTCATGAACCTGAAGTTGTTTTTAGCAAATTATAACCTATGGCCCTGTAATCTTACGTCCTGTGTTACACAAAGTCATTTCTCCCAGCACCTTGGGTAAGGAAAGCACAAAGAGTTGTCCTTCATTATCCAAGTAAGCACACCTACTGTTGATGATCTGTTGTATGTTCCCAGACAGAGCCGGACACCATCAGGTGGATTCCCATTCAACCATAAACTTGGCCTTTAGTTTTAAGGACTGCTAACCAAACTGTAGCCTTTGCTTTCTTCTGAGCTCAGCTGTTCCCAGGCACCCTCCTTGCAAAGCTGACCCCTTGGTCTTACAGACAGCATTTCTTCGTAAAAAAAGAGAGACTCGTCATTCAGCTCAGCAGCCCTTGGCGTGCGGCGTGATTTTAGCCACACGCAACTCCTCAATTGTACCTTTGAAGGACTGCCCTCTAGAGCATGAACTGTGTCTTCCCTTTTGCCTAGGCCTGAAGCGTGAAGATGGAGTAGATTTTTGGTTTTTAGCACAAGGAAACTAAACCTGCATCTAAATAAACCCAGCAGTGGAAAAATTACCTGCCCGCTCTTCAAACTCCTTCTAATAACACCTTGTACCACAGCCGAAACCGGCACCTTTGTCAAGATGGGTATTGCAGTACAACAAAACAAAGATAAAACCACCCTAAAACATTCTGAAATGACAATTGCTTGCTCTCAGCATATGCGTGCTTTTTGGCCACATATGATACCAAGAGCATTCAAGAAACTAGATTTACAACAATTAAGTCAACTAAACCTTGAATTGTGCTTATATGCCTTCTAGAGCCATTGTCCACATGTAGGTGCCACCGAGACAGTCTAATCCAAGCAGATGAGCCTCTTTGAGCATGGTTATCTCGGCTTGGATAACATGCTATGTTCCACATTTATTTGTGCCTGTCAGGCACACCACAGTGCCCAGAGACATTCCCATCATAACATAATCTCTCATAGCTGTGTCACAAAAAGAATGATAAAACTTTTTTTTTCCATTCACAGTACCTTTTCAGACCGGTTCTCTGCATTCCCAAGGCTATTGATAGTTGCCTCCGGAGCTTTTAACAGTTCGGTGGCTTTCTGTTTTCTCCACGTTGTGGGATGAAGATACCATGCTCCATATCTGATCTTCTCCCATTTCGTTTGGGAAGGGACCTGCAAAACCACTGTCGCAGTGTTCTTGCGTCGTGTTGGCATTTGTCCCTCATGCCATAGGCTGTACAGACACTGTCCCAGAACCTGAGTACCGCCTCTGAAGGGGCTACAAGGGATGATCTTGTACCCTACAGCTATACAATATAAAGGTGATAGTCGATGAGAATGTCTGACTAGCAGTTTTTTCCCTTTTTCCCCACCAAGGCAAAGAGTATTAAAAGCTACTGCTGGGAATCACTACCCTCAAGTCATCTGACCATTTTTTCTTAAAACCATTTTTTTGTGAGAACCTGGGAAAGAAGTCTGTGAGGTTCACACTTTGGGAGTCAGAGGCCGAATACATCTTCTTCTATTTCAAAAGCGAATTTCTGAACATGAAAAAAAAATAGCAACAGGGTTGGAGAAATGCAAGCTTTCCGTTAAGCCAGAGCTGGCCCAACTTCAACCTCTTACCTGAAATGCTCCAGCAAATATTTTCCCTAAAATCCTCCTCTGGTTTTGACCTCAGCCATATACCGCCTTTGATAACGTATTCAATGATTGAAAGAAGATAGGGCAAGAAAAGCAGGTAATGGGAAAGGCAGGGACTGGAAAGTCACTGCCCTGTGCTTCAGCTTCTTCTAGTTGACACCTCCACCGGTCCCCCTGCTCTCCTACATCAGTGCCACAGACGCACTTGGGACCAAGGACTTCAAGAAGCTCCCACTGTAATGTCTAACAAACCACATCTTGAGATGGGTCAGACATGTTGTCCTTCACCTAATCCAAAGCTCGCACAGTCTTCTACCATGTTTTTCAGTTGATTTCACTGGCTTTGGGTACAAGGAAAACTGCTGACTATGCTCTGTAGTTTGACCAGCAAAAGGACTGTCTGGTTGAGCTCTAATATTCTTAGGCGTCATTCTCCCATTTTACTGCCCTGCTGCATGTAAAAACTATCTGTTGTTGAACACTTCCTTTTTCAACTGCACTCGGAATCCTTAAGATAGAGTTACAGAGAAATATGAAGTGCTCCCCGATAAAAAACAGGCTCTTTTTTCATCTCCAATGGGCACCCTCCCCTATAAACCATCCAAAACAATTAGACTTTTGCAAATGTAAATGTGGGCTCTTTTACCTTAACCTGGCAGGGCAGACTTCTTCGGTGACGAGAACTCCTGACAGCTAACTGGGGAGATGAAGCCTCCTGGCTCCTTGACCGCTCTGCTTCCATGTTGTTGAATTTCACGGCAAGGGAAGGTGAAGGGAGAGTGGCCTCCCTTTCATAGCTGGTGGTGAGCAAGCTCATGAGATTATCTTCCTCCATACCGCAGTTCCCTCCTCCCTGGAACAACCACCCCAGGACAGTCTCAGAGTCTCAGGGGAATAAAGCAACATCTCATTACTAGTTTTTTCTTGCATACATTCCCTGCCCCCAAATCTATCGTACCATTAAACTCAGCATCACAGTTTCAGCTGATCTACAAGTACACTTGCGTTAGCATCATCACAGCGATGAGGCAAGCGCAAAGTCAGTCCGAACCGACAAGTGAATTGGGGGATTAATTTCAGATAAAAGGGGACTGCTCCAAGGTGAAGCTGTTAAATAGTGATTTGGACATGGATGGTGTCCCTGGGAAACAGAAAAAAACCAAAAAACTAACCAACAAAACCCCACAACTTTCTGAAGCAAATTCAATCAGCAGTATTTTTGTATGATGATACTTATTCCTTACTTGACATTTTAGTGGGCTGAGCCCTATTAGTCACAACAGGACATCAGAGCTAGGAGTCAAACAAGACATCTTGGTTTTGACTTAGGTTCTCAGATGCACACATCCAGAGCCACATTTTTCCTTCCTTAGTCCAAAGACATTAAGGCTAAATGAAGTAATCAGGTATCTAGAATCAAAGAGAGCAGGTGGTGGCAGTTTTGTTTTACTTACCAAAGACATAACCCAGTCACAAAAATGCTTGGTTGCTCGCTTTGCACGTTCATCAGGGGAAACAAAGTCGGTCAGCGTGGCCTCCTTTTCTCTTGCTACCTTCTTGGAAAGCCGGGTACATAGGTTTTTGCCTCGAGGTTTCTTGCTGCTGCACGTAGTAATGCAGTACGATCTGAAACACCCTTTGATTAGCTGCAGTGATAGCTGTCACCACACAGGCAGCATTAGACAACAGCGTAAGGCTGGATCCTGTGTTTGCACGTACGCCTTGGGAACACAGATGCTGCAGCTGACCACTAGACATGGCATGATTTTTTCAAGGAATAGCTTGAACAATTTGAGCCAGTTGTGAAGAACACCGTCACAAATAGAATCGAGGCCTGCACATGCTATATCGAACAGCAGAGTCCCAAGGTTTGGATGCAAGGCTTGAAATAACCTGCCACCTTCAAAATAGAAAACCCTAAAAAACTGAAGCTCCGGGTTGTATGTGCCCATCACTCTGCCCTTCTGTCGTTATTAAAAGTGCTTAGGGAAGAATGAAGCGACACCGCTTATTTTGCCTTAGGTAACTCAGCCGGTAAAACTAACCACCGGTGAGGCTGTCTCCTTATGGCTTTGTATCACTCAGGACTAATCCTGACTGGTCTCTGAACAGGTGGTGGGATATCAATTAATTCATCAGTATCACTGAGGAAGGCAAAGGAACCTATCTTTTAATGAAAACTATTCCCATGACAGATTGATGTAAACTTTAACTAAGTGCTTAAATTCCTTTTTCCACTCATCACAGAGAAGGGGGCATTCCGAGCTATTTGTGTTGCTGTCCTCAGCTGCTCCTGTACTCACTGTACTCGTGGCTTGGAAGCTGTTGCTTTGCTTCGTGTGTCCTCCGTATGATCCAGCACCTCCCGAAGGGGTTGTTTCTCCTCTTCACAGACCCTGTAGCCAGCCTCGCTCTTCAAAAGCATTTCAGGATCCAGGACACCAGCAACCTCTCTCAAGAGCTGCGAGCCAAGCAAAAAGACAGCCTGTGTTCAACAATAACCTCACTGGAAGACGTCGGCTCGGGGGCTGTGTGAAGGACTGCCCAACACGCAAGTCTCCTCAGGTCTACTAGGAGTTAACGCAGTTCATAATCCAGAAGCTTCACTTCACAGACCTCTTTGAAAAATCCCTAAAGCGTTAGTTGCAACTCAGGCTGCTTGCTACATCTGTGAATCATGCTGAAATTCTGGCCTCTGCCATCTTCTATGGCTATCTGCTGTACCGCATACAACTTTTTCCTTCAGCTGCTTTGAAGTTGACTTCCTTTTAGTACAATCCCTCATTTCGTGATCCCATTACCCTGGTAACAGCAACCAGGGATCGGGGAGGGCTCCGCTGTTGCCTCTTCCCACAGAAGAGAGACCCAATTCCCTTTCCCGAATTCTAAGGCTTCTCCCAATGCATCTATCTATCACCTTATTGCATCCAAGCCTTTGGTGAGTATATCCCCTTAGAGAAGGCTAAACAATACTAAGGTGCTTCACCCAGGGGCCCTCACCTTCTGTAGCATGCAGCCTGTCCCTTCCAGAAGTCTCCCAGCTCTCCCCTGTTCCTTTTAAGAGGTACTAGGTGCAAAAAGTTTAGTTTTCCCCACTGCATTTGGTCACTGTTCTCCATTTGCAACATCCAAACAAGCACGTCGCAGAAGTTGCCAGCCACACGAGAGACAAGGACCTCCTAGCTTTTGCTTGCGTGAAGCAGAGACAGTTGAAGAACTAGAGACCGGGAAAAGAGGGAGGATTCTGTCAACAGGCTGAGAAACAACAGTAATGAGACACTCTGCTGTCTTGGGCACGCTCCTAACTTCCCAATTCTGATTAGATTCTCTGCCTGCTCTGTCATGTCCATCTGTACCAGTGCCTGGCGATAACTTAGCAGATAAGGCATTTTCCATCATCTGTTGACTGTGATGGCAGGCACCGGATTCCTCAATTGGCCCATCTCTAATACTGTTCCACAAATTACTTGCTGGCGATTTGGACCCACCATTAAATCTAAGTTAACTTTAATATCGTTTACTTTGTTTTTCCTTTGGAAAGAAACAGAAGTTGCTGTGTTTTTTTTTAATTGACAATAGTAGCTGCGTGCTGGGTTAGTTTCCTGTTCCAGCTCCCCAAAGAAAGTATGTTTAACCAGGATTACAAAATCATTACCTTTGGGTAGATACTTTTTTCCAGCCGTGGGTAAAGGACTAAGAGATGCTGGTTCAGACAGCGCTCTATCTGTGCAACATAATCCCTCCGGGCTTGCTGCAGCAGGCTGAGCTTGGACAGACAGACCTGCGTCTTGGCGCACTTCTTCCTTTTCTCCCACGGAGCCGTGGACGAAGATTTCGGTGTGCTGTTTTGAAGGGTAATTAAGACAGGCCGCTTTCTACCATACACAATCATGTTATCAGATGAAGGAGGAAAGCCGTCTCTGAAGTCATCTAGACCTTTTTTCAGGAATATCCATCGCCGACCATTAAGGGAATCCGATAACCTCGGTCTGCTTCCTCGAAAATCCTTATAAGACATTTTCTCCCTTCTGTAAGCAAATTAAATGAAGTGGAGCTTAAAGGCTGTATTCTAATTATCAAGACTGGAGTACATTTAGAGTACGGGTGGGTATTCAACTCCAAGCATGTTTACCCCCACGGGCCAGCAGTTTGCTGCTACTCAGCTTTTGAGAAAAGCTTATAAACACTGACTTAGTCTGCATGAAGGGCCCCCACCAAAACCCAGCATTTCCAGCTCACAGAAAATCCTGGCATTCCAAAAGTTTGTTTTTAAATAATAAAATGATAATGCTGTAGAGCTTCTGTTTCAAGACATTTATTTTATACATATATATTGCTTCAATGACATAAAGATACTTTAAGGCTTAGTTTTGACTGCTCCGACCACTACAATGTAAATTATATTATACCATGTGTACAGTCAGAATCACAGTCAAAATGAGGTTTTGATAAAACCGTCAGATCCAGACAGAATCCAGGTCAGCACTTTGGCAGCAAACTCTTCCCTCCACCATTTCTAGTTACCTGCGCATTCAAGACCACCAACATTCCTCGCAAATGCCTCATTTCAGTTGACCACAACTTTTCCAGCTTTCAGCCACTCCGCATTTCATTTGCGGCCTACCAAAGTAGTTTCACGCTTCGAGCAAAATAGCTTTGGCAGTTTCAGAGAATGACTTAAGAGTTGGTAACTGAACCAAGCTTTATTTTCGAGCGCTTGCAGGTACAGTGCCCGACCTGCAGTTTCCAAGGTGGTTCAGGTTGTTGCAGGGGACACCGGTAGGAGGGTGGCCGTGGCAGCCTGGAGCAGGCAAACTGGAGTAAGGGACCCTCTGACTGTTAGCTGAAAAGGTCAGAGGCTGAATTAACTCCCAGGCAGCAGCGAGGAACTGCGCCAGCACCGTAAGAGAGTGATTTACAGATATGAAACTCATTTAAATGCTCTTTGATCCGTAGGGGTTACGTGCGGGACAAGAAAGCAGTGACTTAGTACTTAGTGTCTTCACCAGAACAACGTTGTCTATGCTACGGGAAGGTAAAGACTCTGCTACAAAGCTAATGGCAAAAACCAACACGGGCATCACTAAAGCCCAGCCATCCTGCATTTTGCACATACCAGGTATTGATGGAGAAACGTGCGTGTTGACCTTACTTTACTTTTACTATTTCATGCCCAATATATTCTCACCCTCGTTTTCTCTATCACTTTCTCTTTGGATCCTAGCAGGGCATTTCTTCTTTCTGCCAAATCGTTCAGCAGCTGGGAAGACTGCCTGTTTACGGTAAATGCTGAGATGCTGCTACAGAGCCGTCCATGCACAAGCCACTTTAGATTCCTCTCTAGTGATACTAAGCCAGATCCAGAGATTTTCAGCTACGCAGCACAGGTGGGTAGTTCTTCACAGATGCTCCAGGTCCAAGTGCTAAGCAAAGCCTACAAATCCTGCGGCAGAAAATACCTCCGTAGCCACCTCCGTAGGAGCAGCCAGGCCTAGGACAGGCAGCGCAGGCATTGCCTTCTCCTCTGTGGGCATTCGTGTCAAAGCAGCACTGCCCTAGAAACTGAGGAGCCATCCGGTCAAGGCTTTATCTGTCCACATAAAACATGAGCTAATACTCAGTCCTAGTGACCACTGCACCCCTGACAATACCTTGGCGTTCGCTGTGTCTCCTGACGGATGCATAGGTTCTGGATACACAGCACAAGTTCTTCGGTCCCTTGGTGAACTCTACGGCTCCTTGTCTACAAGACTTCTAAATCCCCACTCTTCTCATCTTCTAAATGATTTTACAGTCACAAGTACCACTTACTTACACTTCCACTTCTTAATACCCCCCCCCCAGAGCCTGGAGCAGCTGCCTGACTTGAGACACAGAAACTCAAAGACAAAAAGTATTCTCCTGCTTCGGCCCAGCCTGTTCCGATGTGCTGTTCCTCACTCTCGCCTTGCTCTCATATCCACAGAATTCACTTATACCTAGATTTCATGGTTTAAGCTGTACGTGGTACCACCAGGTCAGACTGCTCAGCATGCTTGCACGGTAAGCTTCTTTTTGGCTTAAACGATCTAGCGGCAACCAACAGATAGTTTAAATTGCTGCTTTCGGTGCTTTAGCAATACTTGCTTGCTAAAGCATAACAAAAATGAATAGCTTAAGACATTTGCTTTAGAGATGATCAGTGTACTTGCTATGTCAAATATTGCAATACCACTACTTGCAATATCACACATTTTATACGGAGTTACTCAGGACTTACTTAATCCAGAGGCAAAATATGTTTGAAGAAGGTATTATTAAGAACTGTAAAGAGATAAGTACATACCTGATATTTTAGAGCTCTGACAGTGAAGATACCATAGGGGAAAAATAACATCTTATTCTGCCTTAACTGATGTACAGAAAGTTACCTCCATGGCAAGAAAATTTCCAGAAAATCTGAAAGATGTGCAAGAAAATCTGCAGAAGCTAACACTTCAGCAGCGTTTCTTCAGACAAGGAAGGCACTAGTTTTAAGTCCCTGCTGGCAAAAGACACTAGGCATGTTTGCAGCTGGTTGCTGTGGAAACCAGATTCACAGCTCGCTGTGCCTAAAGCAAAGGCTTTCTCCACACAGAAACATGCAGACAGCTCCTGGAGAATGAGGAGTAAAATACTGGAATTCAAGGAGAATCTTATTTTGCCACAACATATATCCTTATCTTTTCAACACCCGCGCTTACTCGTGGCTGAACAACCAGTCTTTGCTGCTGCTGAAAGATGATGCAATACACTGTTCAATGTGCCTTTACGAAGCGTACATTGCTTTCCAAGAAAAACAGAAGCAGCAAACATGGGTCAGGTCTGGTGTTACCCCTTAACCTCTTGTGGTTTTGAAGGATGACACAGACTGGCAGATGAATTCCAAAGGCATGACTTGCGTCAACTAGAGTACGCTGGAGTGGCTGTCCTTAGCAGCTTGTGGAATAATTCTGCTAATTCCTCATCCAATTCTCATTGCACTGCCTAAGCATATGGGATAATTAACGTGCACGCTGGAAGCTGAAATGAAAAAGATGACATAGGTGGTATCCCAGCACCTGGAGACACTGGGTTGATATCCTTTCTGGCGTCAAAATACCCTGCCATGGTATTGCTTTCTTCCGTGCTGTCCTGGACAATAAGAAAACAGCGTTCAAATCAAACTTCAGGGCAGCTTTAGGGTGTGACTTAAGTCGTACTGAGGAAGAGCGACCGGTCCCTGGAGGAAAGGGAGTCATTTCAAGGCAGTCTGCTTTAAGGCGAGCTCTGATCTACACCTCAAATACCGAAGCACTAGCGCACTGAGGTGGAACATTGCGCTAGTCTCTGGCAGCACGGCAGGCAGCAGGGCTGTAACCCAGGGAAGGCAAAGCCCGAGTGTAACCGGAATAGCTTTTCCCCAAAGGCGCAAGGGTGAAGGGCATTGAAGGTTATAGGTCTACAAAGCCAGTCTGTGAGAAGGGGTGAACAGTTAACACTTAGATAATCAAGTGATCGGTTTGTTTGGCCTTGAGAAAACGCACAGAAGGAGAGTAGGTAAACAAAGCTGAGACTGTTGGCACATTATGTGTATCTACACAGACACACAGAGTTAATTAGGTATTTACTGAATAGGTGAGAGAAACAAAGACTGTCTATTTTCAATAGTGAAATCCCAGCATCTCAGGTCCTAGTTAAATGAGTATTTCATAGACTTATATACAGCTATATATATGTAGCTAGATATACTTAAATGCTTCTCTTACCTACTCAGTTAATACTGGATTGTTTCATGCAGAGCAGGACAGTTACCCTGGAAAAGGCAGGACAACAGTTACCTTAAAATATACCAGAACCCCACGGCTCAGAGACTGGGGTCTCACTTCATTCGCCTGAACATGGCCATCTACTGCTCACAGACACGCTTCACAGAGCCAGCAGACACCTAACATGACCAGGAGAGGTCTGCGCCACCCTGCCCTGGCTGCTGGAAGCCAGGGGGGACACCCAGAGATACCTAAGCTTGTCTGTCAGTTAAGCCCCAATTTTCAGCTCCTGTCCTACCCCTCTTTTCTTTATTTAGGATGGGAAAATTCTGCTTTATGGGAAGTTTAGAGGTCTGAGAACAATGGCAGATGTAAGCCTTCCAAGGAGCAAAACCTCACCAGTAGCAGAGCTTGTAGCACCAAAGCATGCTCTCAGAAATGGCTTACAACCCGACCCAACAAAAACAGTGAGAACACATCCACAGTTGACTGAGGAGCATAAACCCTACAAGAGGTCTCTGCAGTTTTGGTTACTCAAAGCCAGGTTACTTCTGAGTTAGAATGAGAGGGTTTTTTTGACTGCAGCTTTCCAGGCCTGCAGCTCTGTTGTCCCTGCCAGGCCATCCAGCACAACCACCAACTAAGTTTGTGTCTGTGGGGTACCTTTCCTGCCACGAGCACAAGCCAGCCGCAGATTTCAGCTAGCCTGTCATAGGGACTCGCTCACACTAGTCTCCCGTAGAAGGCGGCATTTAAGGAAAGGTTGCACCAATTTTGGCTCATGTTCACAAAGAAAACTGATCAAGAAGGATTCACTGTAGAGTTGGGCAAAATTCTTGCTTTATTACTTGTGCTTTTCCTGACTGCATTCAGGAATAGTAATTCTGGATCATGACCCAGAAGAAGGATCAGAAGTGCACAGCCTGGTTTGTGGAAACAAGACCTCCAGCGCAGGTGGCCTTGCCAGGCAGATGTAGCAGCCTTACGTGGAAGGGTGGAACCTCCCGGCTGGAGATGCCACTCCCGGGGAAGCTGTTCCAGATGTGCAAGGGAAGAGGACTTCCTCACGGACAGTTGGTATCGGCCTAGAAAACCCCTTGCTGTAGTGTAAAGCTTTCTGTCATCACTCAAGTGCAGTGAGGTCTGTCCAGGTACCTGATGGAAAACACAAAGGTCTGAAGGTGGATTTTTTAAAATTAGTTTTTAAATACAGCCAGGTTGTTGTCTTGACTCTTACTTTTCTCATCTACAG